AATGTTAAATCTCACAAAGTTGGAGAGAGGTGGGTGGGGAGAGCCCAGTGATGTTTCTTGTTAAGGGCATTTCCCTCCATTGCAAATGGGTAGAGACTGCTGCTCTGAGAGCCAGAAGTCTAGATTCCTGCTTTCTATACAGGGCAGCATATCTTATAAACCTCAAAGTTAACCTTTACAGATATTTTTTATTCTAGCACACAAATAAACTTCTTTGCTTTTATAAGATATGAACATTTTTTTAAGGATACAATTTTACTTTGTAACAAGCTTGAACTATTTAGCATCTTGCTGCCATGGATAGCTGATCTTGCCATTCAGAGTTTGCATTGTTGATGAAAACATGTTACTGTTATTCTTAGGTTACAAAAGTTCTTAATGTCTGTGGAGTCCACTTGGCACTGGACCCAAGCTGAAGTCATGCATAATACCCAATGTTTTCCATCTTTTATTATGTGCTACCTTTATCACAGGACCTCTAGCCAATTCTGTCCATGGTAACTTGCACTATTGACTTTTATTTTCGAGATTATAATATAATTACATTTCTCTCTTGCCTTTCCTCCTTTCAGATCCTCCCATATACTCCTCCCCATCCTTCAAATTCATGGCCTCTTTTTTCACTAATTGTTATTGCATACACATATGTATAGACATATCTATTTTCCTAAATATAGGAATAACCTGCACAGTCTACACAATGTTGTCTGTGTGCATGTTTTCAGGGCTGCCTATCTGACATTTAATAACCAATTTTTGTGTTCTTCCATGGGGAGGGCCACCTCCCTCTCTCTCTCTCTCTCTCTCTCTCTCTCTCTCTCCCTCTCTCTCTCTCTCTTTCTCTTCATTTCTAAGTTGCCCATAGTTCTTTGTGTAGGGTTCAGGCCTCCTGCATATTGACTTTTAAAACAAAAGGGAATTGATTAATTCAAAGCTACTGTCAGCTCCAGAAGACATTGAAAGATGGTGTCTTCTCTTCTAATCATGCTACTGTCCACATATAATCTGGTTCTTTTTAAAGAGAAAATTATGAGCATGGATGCTTGCATACATGTATGTGTATGGACCGTGTGTGCCTAGTGTCTGAGAAGTTCAGAAAAGGGAGTCAGAGCCCCTGGAACTGGAGTTAGAGATGGCTGTAAGTGGCAGTGTGGAGTAGCAAGTGCTCCTAATGGCTGAGCCATCTCTCCAGCCCACTCCAATTGTAAGTCCTTTTAATACTTACGGAGTGCAGTGTGATGACACAGTATGTGTATCTAATGTGGTGATCCCATCACATTCCTTCAGCTTTTGCCTAAACCAGGCCTGGATTCTCATCAGCTGCCTTCATTAATTAACCCTGCTGCTTCTGTCTTTCCAGGTGGGGTTAGAGAGGCTGGGCTGCACCAGGAAGCTGTCATTGTGCTTCCTCTGACCTGGCAGCGGTACACTTCCTTCTGGAGAAGCCTCCGCGGTGGGGACTGTGATGCAGGGGTCTGCAGGGGTCTGCAGGGGCAGAGGATTGCGTTTTCTGACAGGTAAGAAGCTCTGTTGTGCTGGGCAGTGGTGGCTCATGCCTTTAATCCCAGCACTGGGGAGGCAGAGGCAGGTGGATCTCTGTGAGTTCGAGACTAGCCTGGTCTACAAGAGCTGTGGCACTTTCTCTCTTCCTTCCTCCCCAGTTATATTTCGGCCAGCATGACCTGTTAGCTTTTATTACAGAGCTGGAGCATAGTGATTGGTCTTAGGGTTGGGGGTGGGGCTGGCAATGAATTGTGTTTCAAGGTGATAAGAACTGGTGTATTCTTTCAAAATACTTTCTCTGTAAGAAAAAAATATTCAATGTAATAATTCTTTTGTATAAATTAAGTTGTGGTTGCCTTCACTATTTCCCATTGGTGTCCATTTATTTAGTCTTATTAGCTGGGCATTTAAATGAAAGCTTGGCTAAAACTAGTTTATTGTATGAACAGCATCGGTGAGCTTCAGATATGAACCCTGCAGTGTTGAGAAGCTGAGGGGGAGTTGGGGTTTTAAGGCTTTACACCATGACAGTGCCAGATGTCTGAGAACCCTTCACTCAGACAGCTCTCTTCTGATGGGATGAGGGTCCTGGGTGCAGTTAAAGGTGTAAGTAAGCCACATAGAGACAGACCCAAACAACGTGGCAACTGGCATGTGCATTCATGGCACATCCCTTTGGCAAATGTTTTTAGGGAGACAGGGGTGGTTAGAATGTAAAACATGTTTAGAAAGTGATGTCTTAGAGGGAATGACTACAAGAGTTTGTTGAAGTAAAAATATTCGGTCTCTGATGGAATGGACTGCACCCTCTGTGGCTTGACAGGCACGGGACTACAAATATGATCTCAGTCATGTCTGGGTAGCCATCATTAAACTATTCAGAGCCTGTGCCTTCTGCATGGCCATGCTTCATTTTGAGTTTTCACTTTCTGAAACAAAAGCAACTCTGCCATGTCACATTTGAAACAGATGGGCTCCCGGCTCCTTTGGACGTCCCCAGACGTCCTTCCTCAGCACCAGTAATAACCGGGCTTGCTCTGTGATGTGAGCTCCAACAAAAAGCAGGGAGGATTTGCATGGGGTGGGGATGTAAACCTTTGCATTTATGAGTGAACTAGAAGGTTTGATGGATTTTAGCTGTCTTGTGTTCTTTATGGTTTACAGAAAGCCATGCAGCGTTAGAAGTTATGTGTCATACATTGTTTTGACATGCTATACAGCTAGAAACAGTTGGTGCTCAGGGTATAGCAGTTAATAGTTAAACATTGAACTGGTTTGGAAATAAATGGAATTTTTACTTTCTGTCAATTATTCATGTGCTGTTTCCTTTCTCCTGTCTGTCTGTCTGTCTGTCTGTCTGTCTGTCTGCCTATGTATTTGTCATGTATGCATGTGTGCCTGTGTGGAGGTCAGGGGTTGATGTCGGTATCCTCTTATGTTCTCCACCTTTTTTTGAGACAGCATAATTCACCGAACCTGGAGTCCACTGATTTTGTTAAACTGGCTGGGCCTGTGAGCTCCCATGATCCTCTGTCTCTGTCTCTGCAGTGCTGGGGTTACAGGTGCAGGTCAGCATGCCTGATTTTTCCTGTGGACACTGGAGTTAGGAATGAAGAAGATCTTCAGCCTATATGGTGAGGACTTTACCCACTGAGTCACCAACTACCTCTAGTCTCTCATTTTCACAAAGGGCTGAAGACAGAATGGACAAATAATTTTCTAAACAATTAAAAAAGATCCACAAACACATGCAGTTGTGGGTGGATTTCTGCTGGTGGGAGAGGACTCCACACATATGCACATAGCTGCACACATGTGTACCATCCACTGGAAGGAATGCCGACCCTTCCACTTTGAGTCCCCCCAGCCTTGCTCTAGGCTGGATCCTGTTGGGGACCATCACCGTCCTCACTACCTCAGGTCTCTGAGATAGAAAATTACTGCCTCTTAAAAATCAGCAGAACGTTGGAGAGGATTCCAAGATACAGGCTTGTGGTTTTACAACCAGTTAAAGAATAGCTCAGGATATTCTTCCTGTTGTAGCTTTACAGCCAGTTAAAGAATAGCTCAGGATATTCCTTCCCCCTGCTACAGTTTTACAGCCAGTTAAAGAATAGTTCAGGACACTCCTTCTACTGACTCTTTCATCCTGCACACTTGCAAACCCTGCTCACATCCTGTCTATGGCCCTTTATAAGCCTCCCCTAAGAAAATAAAATTTGGCAGCTTGATCAGACTATCAACTTGCTGTCATTCTTCCTATCTCTTGTCCTTCGATTCCCCCTAGGTGTTTCCCGGTTCGTTGTTGACTGCCCCGAGGGTCAGGGCAGGATCCTGCTTGAATGGACAGGGAAGTCACATTTCCGAGGTCTCCCTGGTTGTTTCACAGCCCAGGATTAATTGCATTAGGGAAGGCTATCCTAGGCTGGACTCTGAACACAACTCAGCCCTCCAAAGCTGGCAAGCACACAGGGACAGGAAAAGAGGGTGTGGTGCTTGACCAGAACGGGCACAAAGGCAGTTTCTTGTCCAATCATACTAATTGCAAACACATGAGAACAGGTTAGCCCTGTCTCATTGATTGTCCTATGACCTGTGTTAGGGACATTCCTTGGCATGTATTAAGTCCTCGCTATCATGTGTCAATTAAATGACAGGCTTGTATTTATCCATCTTCCCTGAAGAGGTTTCCCAACACAAGTTACCATAGATCTTATAATGATACCCAGCAATGATGGGAATAAAGTTCTGATCTGAAAGTGGAAGATGCTCCAAGCCATTTAATTAGGAACAGAAGCCAAACATGTGTGACTAACTCCTGTAGGGCTCCATTTATATGGAATGTGTTGAAAAGAAAAAAAAAACCCGATATTTTAAAAACTCATATTAGGCTAAATATTGGAAGTGGGCATGGGGCTTTATGTCAAATAGACATGAAGGAATTTTTTAGTGTTAATGGCAGTATTCCAAAACTCAATTATGGTAACAACAGCACTGTATACTTCAAGTGGGTGAGTAATAAAACATCAATAAAACTGCTAAGCATTTTTTTTTTAAAGAAAGATGTTCTAACAGTCTTGGTTTTACCTAGCTGGAACATTTATGCTTTTTAAAAAAAATTGTAGGTATACTCAAGATTTTATCAGTTTATATGGTGATTTCAAAACATCCTGTTTTCTTTGTATATCTTTTCCCCTTCTTTATTTTCTTCCCATCGATTATATTTTTTTCTAATTATATTTTTCTCCTACAAACCAGGAAATGGTATAGTCTGCTGAAGTTCTCAAACAGCTACCCAATATCTTTCCACACGGATGCTTGCTAGTCAACATCTGGAGCTAAGAGCCCGTTCTTTTCTTGAAAACACTGGGGATTCAGAACACATTCACTAAGGTTGCCAACATGACATCTCTATGTTTTATAGTTAATATTTTCATTACTCACACATTTGCATCTTTTCCATTTTTATTTATTTCTTATTGTATATCTGACTTGCCATCTGTCAATTTTTCTCGAAATAAAATTTTGAGCTAGCTGATTATTGTAAAGAGTGAAACTGGGAAGCCAGATTGCCTCCCTGCTCCACCCCAGACTGCCTTTCTGTCTCTTCAGTAGAGGAGCTAAAGTAGAAGAACTCTGGCTGCATACTCAGGACTATGTGTGGAAAGAAAAAGAGGCAACATTAAACCTGCTGATTTGTCAAATCAGCCACTGTGGAGAGGAGGATTGGGCAATCCCATCCTCTCTTGGGTAAGCAGTGGTCCAGACCAGGGTTTGCTCCACCTGCAGCCATCAGCCTGAAGATTCAACTTCTTCCACATCTTTCAAGTTCCTAGAGTTTAATAAATAATTACTCAGAAAAGACTATAAGCAGCTCATAGGAGACTTAGATTTTTATCCTTGTGAGCACACATAAGATCTTGTGCTGTTTGTTTCTTGAATATTATCTTGAAGGCAGTGGGAATGGCTTATAGGTCAAGGAAGACTCCTTCCAAATACACGTATCTCTGTTTATGGACTCTCTGATTTGCTATCTTCATTGCTCGGCAGATGGAGCAAACAATTGAATCTCCTCTAGTGCAACGTTGTTTAGGTACCGGCAAGCCTGGGCGAGGTTGTGTGATGGGAAGAGAACATGAGGGATGGTTTTGAGGCCTCCTCTTGGGCAGAGGGTCCTTTCAGAAGTGTGGTTAATGTGGAGCAGTCTTCTAGGTCTTCTAGGTTTTCTACCACCTTTACAAGCCTCTCCACTGTGTCCCTGCACAGTACCTTTGAGGCATTGGCTCGAAACTTCTTCTGCAGGTCCTCCTGGCTCAGTGGTTTCCGCCAGTGACCATAGAAGGTATCAGAGCGCTCAGTGAAGGTGGTCCCATCCTTAAGAGTGATGCTGATCTCACAGTACAGTGTGTCAAAACTCGGCAGGTTGTCAGAAGGGTGTTCCAGCTCCACTTTCTTGAGCAACTCTGTTACCTGTGGCCTATTGATTTGCTGGCTGTGGAAGGACGGGACAGTGACACGACCATCGAGCAGCATGGCACAGGCAACGTACTGGAAGGAGTGACGCGCCTCATGCTCTGAGCCTGGGAAGGGCCTGTTTACGTATTGGACCTCGGGGATCCTGAGCACAACCCTCTCGATGTTGTCAGTAGGAAGTCCGGCTCTTTCTGAAACCACAAGGTGCTTCCTCACAGCTGCAGCTGTATCTGCCACCCAGTGGGTAGCCAGATGTGCTGGGAAGCTCTTGAAGGCCACGTCCTGCTGATCCAGCAGCCAGATGTGAGAATCCAGGCTCGGAAGATCGTCTGGGGAGTAGTTAGCATAGAAGGCCCCAAACCCCGACTCCACGTCCAAGATCCGCTTGTTTCCTTGGAGACCCAACATGGCCAGGAATGTGGCTTCCATGCCATGCTTGGCGGCATTGCCGATGTGAAGGGGCTTGGTCTGAGTGGCAGCATTTGCCATGGGTGCCCCAGCATGAGAAACAGCAATAGCCAGGGCCTCTCGGCACTTTGTCAGGCTGAGCCCTAAAAATTTGGATGCAGCAGCAGCACTTCCCAAAGTCCCCACCACAGAGGGAGGATGAAACCTGAAAGGCAAAAGCAAGGAATTCAACCGATGAGGGGATGGATAAGGAAAATGCGGTACTTACAGACAGCGGAATATTACTCAGCTGAAAAGAAAATCAAAATCACGAATTTTGCAGGTAATTGGATGGAAGTGGAGAAAATTATATTGAGTGAGGTCACCCAGGCCCAGAAAGACAAACACCACATATTATCTGTTATATGTAGACTGTAGCTTTGAATCTCTTGATTAATGTGATACTATAAACAAGACACTGGACATGGATACCTTAAGGGAGAAGGGATAGTAAAATACAGATGAAAGGAGAGAGAGAGAGAGAGAGAGAGAGAGAGAGAGAGAGAGAGAGAGAGAGAGATACAGGGGTTGTAAAACTTCAAACATGGCAGTCACGGAGAATGGCGGAATGAGACGTCGGTAGAAGAGTTAATAAAAAAGAGTGCATGAAAAAGCTATATGGAATCCTGTGGTCTTCCAAGCCAAGGAAAACAGCCAGTTAGAGAGGACGGTATATATCAAGTGACAGGAAAGGAGTGAGGGAACGCTCAGGTTAGAAGTCTAAGAAGGGATAAAGGGCTCGGTGAGTGGACAAAGTAGGAGCCACTTTAGCCAAAACTAAGGATACGTGAAGAAGACTTATGAGAACCCACTACTTTGTAAGCTAAATAGAAACATACAACATTTTGTAAATAAAGGGAGGTTTAACAGAAGTACTCTGCATGGGCACACAATGCTTCTCCCAGAAGACATGGGTTGTTAAATAAAAATCTCAGTGTCAGGCAAGGGATACCTCCCTGCGAGCTGTTGGTCAGACAGTCCACAGAGGGACCCAAGGCAAAGCAAGCTGTTGCTATTGCTCTTGGTTACCATTCGTAACCATATTGTAAGTCCCTGTAGCTGAAGACATCACTCATTTCGGATGCAGGGCACAGAGAAATCAACCTCAAACTGACCAGGAAACTAACTCTGCCAGGTAGCTAGCCCATGAACGTGCTCTTTAGGCTGGTGGGGGGAAAAGACATCTGGAGCCAGCACTGTACATCACACGCCACAGTGCTAAGTGATCTTCTGGCAAGACACACCCACTAGAGCAATAGCGGCATGAAGACCATGGGGTCACCAACTGCTTTCTAAGTGGTTTGAGACGGGTAGATTTTATGCCTGGTACTGTAAACCTGGTTGAAGCCCATGACTGGGGAGATCATAAGTCCTGGAGAAGGGCAGTGAGTTAGAGTCCACTATTGTTTTGCCAAATGGTCACACTGTTAAACTGAATTCCAAATATTTGTGTTACGCCTACAGATTTGTGCAGCTGTGAGAAGCTTGTTTTCTTTTTGAAGTGGGCAGTGATTAATGCAGATCTGAGGACTCAACTGTTGATGGGTGCCCAACTATACCAGCTTCCCACTGTCCAGGGCTCAGGAACTTCGTAGCGGGGAGAAATAACGTAAGAGCTGGCAGGTGAGAGGGGAGCTGTGAAATGTGTGTGCCCGGACATGACATGTCCATCGCACACACCAAATCACAGCAGCTGTGGCTGCTCTCCCACAACCTGCGCAAGATCAAGCCATAATCCCACACTGCTGGGGTGGGGGGCAGTAGGCCCCACCCTATGGGAGAAACGCTGCAGTTGATGACTGCTGAGGGAGGGAGAGGTACTCTCCTTTAAGGATGTGGCCCTGGTGGATGATTACCTTCCATGTGTATATGGGTGGCACTAAGAAGGCATTCAGCTGATAGGAAGATGAAGTAGGGAACACAAGGGATAGTTGGACAAAGGATACGATTAATATCCAATGAATAAACTATGAACTTTCAGAGAATAAAAATGCAATTCAAACAATTATAGAGGCTGGAGAGATGGTTAAGTCCTCAAGAACCCGCACTGCTCTTTCAGAGGTCCCAGCTTTGGTTCTAAGCCTTACAATTCATGGACCACACACAACTGCCCGTAACTCCAGCTTGAGGGGATCCAGTGATACCCAGAATACTCCTGGACGCAAGTGACAGAAATCACACTGGAGTGACGGACCTCCAAGTTCTCTCGTGTGGTTTTAGTAGCTAGATGTACAAGCCTAAGGGACGTTTTTACAATCATTTCCAAAGCACACCTTTCTGTATGGTGTCTTATGTGCCTGGAAATGGTCCATCTTGCAGCAGCAATAGCATTTGCAGAGCCAGCCCCTAAGTCAGACAGCTCTACACTGACAGACAGGGCGGTGCGGCTCTCCTGGATGGGCAGGCGTAGTCGCTCTGTACCTCTTTGGTATGTCCTTGGCTTCCTTGGAGAAGTGCATTAATCGTCCTTGTACTTCAATGCCAACATTGAATGCGAGCAGCAGGTCAAGGCCAGAAAACCTGGGAGTCTGGGGCAGGGCTTCTGACAAAGCTGTGAGGACTGGTAGGACAGCTCCAGAAGGGTGGGTTGCAGGGTGCCATGTGTCATCAAAGTCCATGGAGTGAACCTGTAAGAACAGATACCGACAATCCCATCAGAAATGCCCTTAAGTGCACTGGCTTTTAGACACTGAAAATCTAATTAAGCGATGGCCTTGAGAGCCTTTGGGAACCCCACAATCTGAAATTATACACTAAAAATTGACTGTGATTTTTTTTTTTAAATTAACTGATTTTTATTGAAAAGCTCATACAATATATTTTGATCATGGTTTCCCCTCTCCAAACTCCTCCCAGGTCCTCCCCACCTCCCAACTCACCCAACTCTATGCCTTTTTTCTCTTTTTTTAGCAAACAAATAGGCAAACACACACAAACGCCTACCAAAGTATAATTTAAAAAAGAAAAGTAAACCAAAAGTACAAACTGACATCATTTGCAAAGGAAAAACTAGTTTTCTCCAATGGAGTCTCACTGGTATATTAACCACACCTAAGGGTAGGCCCCATGTCCAGCTGTAATTGGCTGTGATTCTTTGCCTCATGGTGGGATGTCAGAGGAAGGCAGTGATTTCCTGGAGGATTGCTGAGTTTTGCCCTGGAGACCACAGCTCCTGGGGAGATCGACCCTGCCCTTCACCCTTTGCCCTTTAAACAAGTCACACTAAAAATTTAACATCATGAATTATATACTGGGCCATATATTTTCATATCTCTGTCATGAAGTAGCTTTATTGAAGCTGCAGGAACAGCAAAGAGCTCTCAAGCCCACATTAGCTATTAAGCTGTATTTTCAAGTTGTTTCTTTTGTTTTCCTTTTTCATCTCAGCCATTTGCCTTTTCCATATAACAGTAATAACTGCTAGTCCATTTAAACATAGATTTTATGTCTATCTGATGTGGCCCTTGTGTTTCTTATCGCCATGCTGGTGGGTTTGGTTCCGTTAGTCTGAGCTGCCATCCCCACAAATGACTTAATATATCTCTTGAATACCAACATATGTATATCTATATATATATTATGTCTTGTAGGCTTTTCCTGACACACAGGAAATAACATGAAAATTATCTGTCAGATGAGAAGTTCTAATTTTCCATTGAGAAAATAGAGACATTGTGTGGCCATCATTGTTTCTTTCTGAATACTCAAATGACTGGATGGAGAGAACATTGCTGCACAGATAGATCCTGGGACCCACAAGAGACGCAATCAAGAAGGCATTATGTCTGGATCTTGGATTGCATATACATCATACATTTTTTGCTACATCCACTCAAGGACAAGAATTAGAATACCTTAGAGGCATTTTTAATCTAGAGCCTTCCACTTTATAATTTGTTGGAAAAGTTCCACTTTATTGGAGAACCCTGCACATGAAGACATAGGACAGGGCATGCCAGATCTCTGGAACTCAGCAAGGAACTCAGCAATCTCATTTGTAGATAAATTTCCTGCCTCTGAAGCTATAGCAATTTATTTAAAGAAAAAACGGGTAAAACTTCCTTACAGCGACGCCGTTAACAAAAGCAGCATATGTGGGTGGGAGCCTGAAGTCTGGTCGACCCCAAACAGTGCTGGAGGTATTGGAACTGTAGATCTGGAAAAGAAGAAAACCAGTTAATGCAACAATATACAGAGCCGACATCACAAGAGTTATCCTTCATCCTCTAGGCATCCCTGAGAGGGCAGCCTAGCTGGTGGGAAGTCTCTCTACCTTGCCAAGGAATATCCATTCACCTTGTAAGGGAGAGGAGATGGAACTGCTTATCCCCAAGTCACGATCTAGAAGCTCCATTCAAGGAGTCTCAATCTACTTATATTTGATCTTGGGGTAAAGTGTTTAACTTCTAGAACTTTGGGGTTGAAATGTACTTTTAGTCATACAAGTAAACAGCCTTGAGATATTACCAATGAATGGTAACACGGCCCCACTTAGTAACAAATAGGCATGAACTTTAAAAATCATATGAAGCGAAGGGACTCATAAAAATGTATGGGACAATGAAACACACATCAAATGCAATCTCACATACAGTGAGTTGAGCGCAGGTACAGACTGTGGAGTGTACCCTCGTGCACACACTGGCTTTTGACCTTGGAAGTGAACTTTGGTCTTCTTACTTTGCTATATTGGGTGACTTTGTGAAACACTTCTGTGCCTGTTCCCAGGAAACCAACACCCAGGGAATCCAGGATCATTCTTTTGCTCCTCTGAATGACACCATCTGTCAGGTGGTCCACTCTCAAGCCGTGAATCATGCTGGCAAAGCTTTCTGTGATAGACTTCAAAGGGAAGAAGGTCAGAACAGCGCACCACCCCGAATCCACTCACTTCTTTCACTAAGAGACCATGAGGTGAAGAGTTTTGCTCCACAAGAAGAAACCTGGTTGATGTGACTGAGTTTGCTTTCTGAAAAGTGGTGTGTGCTAGGCACCTACTACGTTGGACAAGAGGATGTGGGAATATGCAATAACTAAGTCCTATGACAAGTCACCCTGATAATGCAGGCTGCTCAGCTGATGATGACTACGAAGCATGATGGAGGGCAGTGAAGGGAAGCCAGACAGAGGGGAGGATGGAAGGACATTGTGCTCTGTGGTCATTGTATGTCGAAGGAGTTTTGCCTCTGATCATAAACCAGACATGAGCCCCTGGGGCAGGATGATCTGTGTCTCTTAAGTGGTAGTAGAGGACTTCACAATTCCTTTAACTGTCAAGCCCTTCAATGCACAAGGAACACTTTTGTTTCTATATGCCTTCTCAGAAGAATATAGCTTAAAAATAGCCACTGGAAGGGTACCTCACCCCATGCCCAGCACTGAGTTCTTGTAATACAGACCCGAGTAGTTTTTCTTTCCTCATCTGATGATTATGCTGTTGCCTAACTTCCTTTCCATCTCCGACTGTAACATCTTTTGTTCACAAATGATAGCTGCTGGACTTTACTGGGTTAAAGAATCCTGGTGTCCAAGGTCCCTCACAGTGGGATCGCTGTCAAAGTACAGTCACAGAGATAGAACCAGTGCCTACATGGAAATCTTCACCTTTGCTACCCACAAGTTCCTTTTTTCCTTTCTCTTTCTTTTCTTCTGATGCAAGGTCTCTCAATGTTTGGACTCATTGTCTGTCTCAGGCTGGCCTTGAACTTGTGGCAATCCTCCTCCCTCAGCCCTAACCCCATTCTTAGAGACTTCCGATTTATCAGTCAGACGAAAGCTGTCATTTTCAAAAGAATAGAGCATTTGCTGCATCTTTAAAGCTTGGATAGGGAATGAAGGGAGCTCGGAGTAGGAGAAAGCAGCCGAGGAGATGGAGATGGAGATAGCTGGGGCAGCAAAAGGATACTGTAACGGATGTTTCTGATTGGGGCAGAGGAAAATGGTAATGCTGCTTTTCATGCTGGTAAATATTTTGACAAACATTTTGCATGCAGAAGAGAGAGGGAAGGATGGAAAGAGTGGACTTAGTAATCTGCTGACTTAATTTCCAAGTACCAGTTGAACACTGGATGATCGAATAGCAGGCGAGGGGCAGCAACATGGAACCCGAGGTGTGGGATAGCTTTAGAAGGCTATGCTCACATAACTTACGACACTGAGACCAGTGGGCTCCCCCAAAGGTGCTGAGTATTTCGTGAGCCAAAGAACAAGCCACCCTCCCTGACCTTGAAGGGAGAGATTGGAAGGAGAATAATCACTACTGCTCTGATCTCTGAGTCATACCTCACCCGCATGTCAATTGTCTTGCTGGTGTACTTGACTTTCTGGCGGCATTTGCATCTTTTTGGTGAACTCTTGTGACTTACGTATGGATTAAAGCAGAGCGTGGAGTCATTGAACAGCCAATGTCAGGGGCCCCTTGTGAACTCATCATGCACACCCCTCTAAACAGCCAAACCAGTCCTTTTGATTCAACAAGCTTACCCGGAGACGACAGGGAACACGAGAGCAAACAGATAATCAGAGATGCAATCCGTCTGGATCACGCAGACAGAGGACACATATAAAACCAAGAGGTTGAGGTTCAGTGAACGTACAGTGACATACTTTCTTTCTAGGAGCAAGCGACGGGATCGCATCTCTCACTTGTCAAACACCGATGAGAACTAGCATGCAGCTCATTAGGTAGCTCAGAGGCTGAGAAAAGTTAAAATGTCATTCATTTCTGTAGCAGAGCAGGTAGCTTTTAAAAGACCAACTGATTGGGAAAGGAAGAACCAGATGAGGAAGGCAATCTAGGCAAGCTAGAGCAAAGGTTACAATACCTTGAGCTTCATGTTGCTCTGGAGGGGAACACTCTGGCCCAGGAGTGAGCTGCAGGAGCGCTTCTGGCAGTGTGCTTCTGGCAGTGTGCCTTTATATCAGCCCTCCCCTTCATTTTCTTCCTTTTCACTTTTGTTTTAACCATGGAATTTCCATCATTTCAACACTTCCCAGATGACCTCACTTAAACTTCTTTTGTAATGATGTACTGAGCTCACTCGTAGCTGGAGAATTGATGAGAGGAAGCTGTATAGTAGTCAGGATCTTATGATGTCACACACACACACACACACACACACACACACACACACACGGTTGAAAAGCGAGGGACTGTCCATATATGCTAGAACCATATATCATATCATAAGAGCACACACTCTCTTTACTGGGGATCCCACTCCTGAAACTTTATCATAAGGAAATAAGCACAAATATGATAAAGGTAGACACAACCCCAGAACCCCAAGGGCAAGGAGTCCCTTTCTATGGCCTGCTCATTGGCCCATTGAAAGCCTACTGTCACCATCCAGCAGTCAGTGAGCCAGCTTCTGGGAATGATAAAAAAAAAAAAAAATATCCTGCCTGAGTCTTTTTTTTTTTTTTTTTTTTTTTTTTTTAGAACCTCATTAACAGAAGGGAACTCATGCCTGGTACTGCAAATGTAGTCATGCCTGGCGAGGTCATAAACACAGAAGAGAACCCACTACTGCCATTTTTTCTAAACTGACATAACTTCTAGCTGCATTCTAAATACTTGTCCTTATTCCCACAGATCAATGTAGCTCTCGCCCCTCATCAGAGATGCTCCCTTTTCAGCACATGGAAGCTACTAAAAAGATCCACAGCTAGTCAAAATGCAAAGAATAAACAAACGTGGTGTCCAGCCTTAATTGGTATACCTACAATGGAGACCCTGTGCCTAAGGAACAACCGTGAAAGAGAATGTGGAAATAGTAAGGGCCAGATGAGCAGGACACAGCTGCAAGACAGTGTTTTCTAGACATGACAGAGAAGCTGAATCCACGGAACATCAACAATATGTTTGCCCAAACGAGACCCGCGTATTAATAACACCAGTTGACAAGCTATCACAGATGGGGACATTTCATAAGATTCTCTCCAGATGAAGAGTTATAGGCAATCAATGGCTTCTGAGAGAAGGAGTATTGGTTTTCTCCAGAGATGAGCTCTCTGATGGATTTGTTAGGAATTATGTAAATATATGTGTTATACATATACCTGGTGTGTATTGTGTGTGTGTGTGTGTGTGTGAGATGGTGGCATATAGGCAGATATGGTACTGGAGAGGTAGCTGAGCGTTCTATGTCTGTATATGCAGGCAGGGTCAAGTGACTGTTACACACTAGCCAGGCTTGAGCTTCTGAGACCCCAGAAGACCACATCTCTCAATAGAGCCTATGGGGGGCCATTCTCATTTAAATCACACACACCAAACAAGCAAACCAACCAACCCCAATGGTGCAAAGTCTTACAGGAAGAGCAACAGCAGGAAATGGAGCCTGAGACCTGACCAGAACGTTTTGTGGGCTCTGTGTTCTCCTAACCCTTAGGTTTGACAGCTCAATCCCGATTGGCCCCATTTTGCATCTTATTTATTTATTTATTTATTTATTTATTTATTTATTTGCACACACATTTGGTCACTCGGGGGCCACCTGATCAGTGCAGTAGAACAGAACTCTGGAAATGCAGCCTTCACAGATATTCCTTGGAGGAGAGAGAAGAGGTAGACTTCGCAGCCAGGTGCTCAGCCAGGATGGATTCTGGCTGTCTGCAGTCTACTTGTTCTAACTTTCGACATAGACCTCAAATGCTCCTCCTCTTGGTAGAAGAAAAAGAAGCCTGGAGATGGACTCCTGCTCCCACCTGGCTTCCCACCTGGCTCCCCACCTGGCTCCCCACCTGGCTCCCCACCTGGCTCCCCACCTGGCTCCCCACCTGGCTCCCCACCTGGCTCCCCACCTGGCCAGAAGCTTGGTTCCCAGCCTGCCTTTAAGGATTGCTAGAGAGGAACCATACTGGCCACACTGGAAGCTTCTGCCCTGAGCAGGAAGCTTGCTTGCTCAGCCCAGCCTTCAGGACTCTACCTGCAGCTGCAGGTTGGGAGACTCATTTCTTCCTCAGCCTCCAAGGCTCCACATTTTGGCCGCAGAAGGGAATTCATTCCTGTAGCCATTTGTAACCTCCAAGATGCGCAGCTTCAGACCTGTGGCAATTTGAAACTCCAGCCTTGAAGATCTGCCGGGGTCAGAAGATGCGCCACTCCTGTGACCGCTGTGTAGAATTGCTCTGCCAAGAGCTTTCAAACTGTGATACTTGCCAATGGTCTTTTGACTGCCACCCAGGGCTGTAACATTTGTAACATCTGGACTAGGCACCAGAAGCTTGGTGAAAGCTCAGAGCTTTAGCGCTCACATCGCATTTTGTCTGGCATCTCACTGCCACCGAGGGACTCAGAGCATCTACTTTTCTACTTGGGCTCTTATTTTCCTCCTTGAATTTTTCCAACACGGCAAACAATGTTTCCTAGTTTCCTCTTTGCTGTCTATTTTACTGCATTCTCTGAGGATGTGCAAGTCAAGAACTCACCTCTCAGCTGGTGTATTGTCTAGGAATTCCAGGACAATTCAATGTGGATGTGGGAATGGACCTACGGGAAGTCAACAGGAATCTGTGCAGTCAACAGAACAGTTCTGGACAGCCGAGAGAGGCGGACTTTACCATGCTCCTGTTGTTTGGGGCATCCATGCTCCAGTGTAGTTCTTCAGAGCAGAAAGGAAAAAACAAACAAATAAACAAACAAACAAGCAAAAAACAGTGATAGCACACCTGTCAGTCTTCAGTGTCAGAGGTCAGGCTTGCTGAAGTGAGGGCAATCATTCGCATGCCAGGAATGTTGGTCTTGTTTCCCTTTAGTTCCCTTTCGTGGAAATGTGCTGCCCATCATGGAGGGCTGAGATGAGGTTCTAAAGAAACTGCAGGTTCCTAGCAGGAGTGACACTGGTGTTATTAGATGTCCTGACCAGACCTGGCCTGCCTACCTGCTAAGGTGGTCAGGGCAAAGATCTGCATTTTGTTTTCTTCCGTCCTTCTTCAAATGGCACTTAACCAAAGACTTTGTCATGCGGGTTTCTCAGTTGCTGGCTGTCATATCACAAGCAGCGATCATGCCAAGAGTCCTATAAGTTGCTAAGTCGTGATCAACACCCAACAGGTGTGCCGTTGTCACTGGATGCAGAAGGCACTGGGACATGGGGAAGCCACTTGGAAGGGGCTTCCTGTTGGAAGCTGGAGGGTCTGCTGGAAGAGAGAAGCCTGTTGTAAGCCTGAGACAGAATTTCACAGCAGGATTTATGTGGTACCGAGTGGTGATATAAAACCATCCTGCTTTGTTGAGGGAGGGAGGAGGCCTTCCTATTGTGAGGGCTGGCCTTACAGTGTTGTTCTCTGCAATTTGCGACCATGGAGACAATGAAGGACAGGAATTGGGTGAGTACGTGGTCTTAAGTGCCTTCTTTAGGGACCAGAATCATTGATTGTCCCACTGTGGGGATGGATTGGCAAACTAAAAACACCCAAGGGGTTGTAACATTTTTTTTTTTTTTACTGTTCTTCTTCTGTTTCATTTTTTGAATATCTAAAGTGTTTGCTGATTGCTTTTCATAATTAACTTGGGTGGAATTTGTTGACTTGAATTTGGTGGCTCTCAGGGTTCTTTGTGATATTTTCTCTGAAAATGTGTTTCAGATGAGTGTTGTAGGTTCTCCTGGGGCACTATTGTACAGTAGTGAACAGAACGTTGAGCCTGTGTGTGCTATGAGTTGGATCTTAGTGGTGTTTCCCTCGGGTGTCATCAATTGGTCAATACCTTTTTCAGTGATTCTAGAAGGGATTCTATAGGAAGGCATTTGCTCCCGAATAGAACAACAAGCAACACATCCCTCTGGTGTCATCACTGTCAACTCCTCCAGGAGATTAATATGTTTCTCTCAACCTTCCTTTCTAACTCTGAGATATGGTCCCCTCACACACAATAAGCTGCCCCATGACAAAACCCAATCTTTTTTTTTTTTTTTTTTGGAATATATATATTATATAACCAAGTCCATTTAAATGAAAACAAACATTTATAGACAATATTTGGGAATTTGGGCGTCATTCTTTCCAAACTACTTCCTGCTGGTAAGGGGTGCTGTCATGGGGGATTCTAAGAAGACAAAACCCAATCTTTTAACTACTTGTGAAACTGAACCTTAAGAAAACCAGAATTTGTTTTTATCCACGCTTTCTTTAAATGTTGCACAAAAGTTAAAACTAAGAGACTGGTGAAACTGTCTTTTTGGGTATTTAAGTACCAAAGTTTGGAGGCCTAAGAGCACAGAGGGATTAAAATGGAAGTCAATACTTGGTCCTTGCCCTTTAAGATCAATTAAGAGTCAGGGTCCAATGTGATCCTTTTAAAAAACCCCTATTCTGATAAATTAGCTATCCTTTTGATCAGAGAGGCCACGAAGAACCCCAGGACTAGACTCTAACCAATGTACATCCTGCAGAGAGGAAAGTCAAGGGAAAAGAATGTTCCCTGTGCTTTCAAAGGAAGTCACATAGAAGATCTTGACCTATCTCAGCAGATGGTGTACTTGGAAAAGAACAATGGCTCCCGGGCCCGTGAAAGTCACTCTTATTAGATTTTTAAATTTGTGTTTAGTATAAAAACGTTAATTCTTGACTACCTCCATTGTCTTAAACACTCACCATGAAAGTAGTGGCTAGATAACAAAATGGTTGGAAAGGA